ATGATTGCCTGCATACCGCACCGCGAACTGAAAATAAGTTTTCTTTAATTGGGTTCTGTTTTCGGCTGGCGAGAAGGCCTTCTAGTACGACGAGGACACTGACGTCTCCGCTTAACATTTCGCTAAAGCATCCACTTTTCATCTCTGGTAATAATATAAAGACTGACTTGTAAAATCCAATATGTAAAAACCCAATCTAGTAACGTCCCAATATAACCGAGCAGACTTATGCCATTTCTTTCTGTGGTAGACCAGTTGATATCCCAGGCTATAGAACCCGGTCTGTCCTACTCTTTACCATTAGCTGAGGTGGGGGCGGAGAGAAGAAGTGGATTCATACCTTTTACAAGGGTATTAGCATGTAAGTGAATGTAATAGATTTGACTAGAATTCAAACTCGGCTCAATCGAAGCCACTATCAATTACTCCACCGTTTCTCACAGAACACAAGCGGATCTATTTCAAAAGATGCTGGACAAATGATCAGTTCATAGTACCGCTCAAACAGACTAATTATTTTTATATTTTATTGAGGGATGCTATTTACGTTTTAGCTATTATTTCAAAATATGAGTTACAATGAAATATGTCTCACCAAATTTGCCCTTTAGCTATATATTTCAAAGAATATACAAATCAATTACCGAAAAAAGGAGAAAACATGTTCTGCCGACAAAAAATCGCCAAATTTGGTCTGAAGCCTGAAATATTGTGGCTCATATATATATATATATATATATATATATATATATATATATATATATAACTAGACTCAATTTCGAAAACCCTCGAATTTTTGATTTGCTAATCAAATCAATCTCGAGGGAAAAAAGGTTTTAAAAAAAGAAAGAGCTACAAACATGAACTTCCTATACGACAAAAATCGCACCGCTAGATGCAGGTCAAAGCCCAAAGAAAAACCCTTATCTTATACGAGTAACAACGTTAAACATAAAAAAAAAAGCTCAATATATGACGTCATTTGTTTATTTACGGTTATGAATGTACGAGATTCATGGAAAATTGAGTTTATAAGCTTCACTTGTCTACCGATTGGTTCTTTGTATATATATATATATATATATAGGATGCAGGTTCGAAAAAGAACATTTTTATGTTTAACGTTATTTAATACTTTTTATATAAACATAAAAATGTCTTTAATAAAACGTTAAACAAAAAATTGTCGGACGTTTGTCCATTTCTTTAATATATATATATATATATATATATATATATATATATGCACTATTTATATTATTCGGACTATTGTCCTCATCTTTGTTGCCATATTTATTATTACAACGTTTCCGGTCTTCTTCAGGTGTTTCGAATGTCAAACTGAAAACATGCAATGATAACAGAAAAATTGCAATATGAGAACAGGTAAAATGGTTGCTGAAGACATTAGGGTTTATAATACCCAGAAATTCATACAGAGAGAACACATGGCACAATGTGTAAAGGCGTTATTTAGATCCAGTGACAAGACCCAAAGACTGTGAGTTCAATACTCGGTTAACGCAGTGAGTGGAATTAACAGGAGATAATGACATTCATTAAACATGGAACTCGAACAGTCTACCCCAGTGAGCGAAATAAAGAGTTCAGTTCGACATTCCAAACATAATGCCTCATCTCATATATATATATATATATATATATATATATATATATATATATATATATATATATATATAACATCAGTATCTTTGCTGAAGATTAAACTATTTGCTATCTCTGCTTAGGGCAAATTGCGTACAACTATGAGATCATTATTCTCCAAAAAGATGCGACATTTAGTGATATTTATTTTCGTTTTCGTTTGGTCATTTGCAACACAGCAGTTCGAAACTGCAGGAGTCGTGTAGTGTTTATTTAATCATTAAGTTGCACCGGTTTACAGGGTGTGAGAAAATACGAGAAAAAAACATGACCAAGGAAGGAGAACAATAAACAAAGAGGATTTAAGAAGACATAAGATAACGATTTATAATGAACTAGCAGCATGGCCCGGTGTTGCCCGTACTTGATTCAAAAATCGTACGACTCATACAGCAATCGCTATCAATTGACTTAAAATATTTTTGCCCTTTCTTGCCTTTAAAGGAGTGCCCTTTCCGTGCTGATGTTGCTACATGCCTTACTTCTTGCCTATCTCACACTGCAAATTTTTTTCTAAGCTCTATACTAAACATTAAATCTGTTACGAAAAAAGAACTAAACAAAATGAACACAAAACGATCAGCTTTAAAGAAGGACTCGTAACTGGAAAAACCGAATAAAAAAAGAATGTTAACAACAAATACTTTTTCACACCCAACCCAGTTCTGCGGAATCAGAATCAACGTTGAGTTTAAGAAAGGGAATGTGCCAATTGGAGTAAAGTGCCATGCAGATTTAAATTTTTCCCACTTGTGACGAATGTAGCTATCGATTTTTTTTGCATGCTAGCATGCTAGTTAACATTCGTGCCAGTCAGCTGTTGGCTCTCACGCTGGCCAATAGAATCTCCCTGCCTATTCGAGGCAGCCAGCTATAGGCTCTCACACTGGTCAGTACATGAAAACTGCCGTAGAAGCATAAAAAAATCGATTATTTCCACTATCGATTGGAGTTGCGAAATGCCAAATCGGTATTGGCCTTTGCACTAACTTGGAGCATGTGAATGTAAATTTTGTTGCAAATCCGTCGAATATTGCTGCTGTGCATTCGTTACACACACACACACACACACATTCTGCTTTTTATAGATAGAGATTAAGATGCTTGAAAGTTAACCGGAAAACGAGAATTGCGAAAGAAAAAGCTGTTAGCATAGAACTTGTGTCAAGAAATTTTATAAGAACTGTCTGCAATGTTATATATTGGACAGAATTTAATACCTTCTCGACTTAAGGCAAAACAAAAAGAATATTTTGTAGGAGAAAGAAACGTTTTAAAATAAACGTTTTCTCTTTAGGTATTATTTCTAAGAATACTGTAATGATAGAATGACCACAAATAGTGACGATCAAACATATAATGATCCAATTACTCTTCCTTTGTCTTGTTAGCAACATATATATATATATATATATTTAAAATTTACTTTTTGTATCAATTCATCGTGTTTGATTTTTTTACATGTCGATCTAATTGACTATTTAGTTTTTCTCAATAACTATATTTAGGTTTACGTATCACCCCGTTCACAAACCTCCCACACCCCCGGTTTTTTGAACAGGAATAGAAGTTTATCACTTGTATCCTATTTAGAATTGAATTTCCGGTTCCGCTTAAAATCTACTTCAACTCTATACTTTTAACGTTTCCGCCTCAACTATGAAATCTTATTTACTATTTATTTATTTATTTATTTTTCTCAATAGGAGGAGATAGGTTTGCCTGTCTTCGATATTTATTGTATAAAAGTACAAATGTGCCACGTGGGCAAAATTGGGAAGTGGGGGAGGCTGGTCTTCAACCTGCCTTACCTCTAACTTAGTTAGCCTCATTTACTGATCCAATCGTCCAAAACATTGTTCCACAACATCTCATTCACACCACAATGCCACATCCACTCGAGGAAAATCTACCCAAACCCCAATTATATATATATTTTGTGGAAGGCTGGGCTCAAAAATAAATAAATCCCTAATGTTCGTGATATAAAGATATTTACACAAATAAACAAAAAATAGTGTTAGTAAACTAAACTAAACATGGCAGATGAAAACAGTTAACTGGACGAAAAAAAATACTGCGGGATTAATAAAATAATTTCCATTCATCCGTTCTAGAATTATTCACTCTAACGTTCACACATTTAAAAACGAAAAGACACACTCGAAAACGAAAGGCATCCCACAGTTTAACCAGAGAACTGCAAACTCTGTCAAAACTAAATGCGGAGAGGGAAGGAGGAAAAATAAACAAAAACTTGGGGACAAAAATAAAGGGGCCAATGACCATTCATACCCTAGCTAAGTTAACTCGATCAAATTGAAATAAAACTCTAACCTATCCCTAAATGACAAATGTTTTAAGTCAGGCGACCAATATCCTTAAGCCTATGTCACCTCCAGATGCCACTCTAAATTAGCCCCTCTCAAGCGAACCAAACACGAAACATCCAACCACCTTTCGCCAAATTTTGATGAAGAGAGCCGCCTCCTTTCCGCCCTGATCTTGATTTTAAGCAGGGTTGCCTGTCTTCAGGTTTATACTCGTCCTCGATCTATTGAACAGGAGTAGAGACATACTTTGTTTCCGAGTTATGATGAAGTTTCCGGATCTTTCTAAAGTCTCCTCATTCTCTTTCACTCCCAGTAGATCTCAGGTGTTAGTGAGGATTATCGCTTTGCTTAGGGTAAATTGATTAAAAATATGAAATATCTTTGAAGGTGCATAGAAAGAGCAAAAGAAGTTATTAAGGGATTGAAAACTAATATTAAAAACTATAAAAAAATAGTGATTGATTGTGATTCCTAATGTATATAGCAGTGTACACTGAACAATTTCATCACAAATGATGAAAAGATTGTAAGCCATTGAGTTATTATCTGCCAGTGAGAGAAATAAAGGGTTGTGTTCGGCATTCCAACAACCTGAAGAATGCCGTAGCGTACAAAGGCCGAAACAGTGTGATAAATATGGCAACAAAGATGAGGATGATAACAATGTAAATAGTGTCAATTGAGTTATTGTTTTAAACCAATAAATGCAGTAAATACTATAGACAAAGTGACAAATAATGAAATTTTAAGCACCGTAAAACACTGACGTTACTGCTAACAATCCTAAAGAAACAGCTGAATCTTTTGAAGCAAAATGATTTTTGATTTTTTTTTTTTTTTAGTCTTCTCCATTTCAGTCACTTTCTCCCCGACATGTCTGCGTCCCGGGCGACGGACCCCGGCTCAACCGCGGACCTGATCTTGTGGCATGAACCGCGGCCTCACATTCGCCCTGTATGCCTACCCCGAGCTGGACAGGTCGCAATTCGTGCCCTATCTTCTTCACAACAATTCTACAAGCAATTTCTGCCGCGAGTCGACGAAAAATGTTACCAACAGCGATAGGGCGCATATCGCCATCATTTTTTTTTTTAAAGCCGTTAAGTTGGCTGAAAATATTAAGTCGTGAGCATGTTTGTGTATCTCAGCTCGGAGAAGGGTATTAATAAGGGCTGTTATGGATCTTTTCAAATGTTCACCAGCTTCGGTAGTGTGAACAGAAATTAAATCATTGATGTGACCAGGTCGTAGTCCCTCCACACCTCTACTGCTGCTTCCCAAGAACTTCAGAGGGGCAACCATCGCTTCCTTTGAGATTTCAATATTTGAATCATGTTTTTTTTCCATCTGAACAAATCTGACATCTGATGGTGGCGAAGGATGTTTCCGACGGAGAGTTGTGAGAACTTCTGGTGTAGTAGCTAGTATAGTATCGGATGAGGCCAATACTCTGTCTGCAGCTGAGACATCACCCTTGCTTAACTTAGAATTGACGAGGGCACGGAGTCTCTTAGAATCGTCGATTGTAGATGAAGGATGAAATCTATTAGAATTAGAAAGATAAGAAAAAAAGGTGGCATTTATTTTAGACGAATTGAATAAGGAAATGTTATTCTTCATAATAGATGAGACAGATGATGTAGGGTCCTTATTGTAAGGAATGCCGAGCACAAGTGTTGCGAAAGAGAAAAGGTGATACAAATCAAGCGAGCTGTTCAAGTTAAGTGCCTGGTCTATGGCAGTAGCCACGGCATCGGCTGCCGGGATTCTGACAGATTTAGGGATTTTTAAAGGCACTTTCCGGAATTGCCTGAGGGGTGAGGTTGCCCTCAAAACTTCACTGGCATCTGTTTGGGTCGGTTCATTGCGTTGATGGATCACACTATCTTGTAGAGCCGAGAGAGACAGACAATGTGAACAACTGCAAAGAACCAGAGACTCTGAAGCATTTCTAATCAATCCTATGCAAGATAAATGAAAAAAAAACCGTTGACAATTTGAACAACTTCTGATTCATTTACGCTTATTAATGCTGCCACAAGAAAAGCAACGATCAGATTCCATCAAAGAAGAAGGAAGATGCATTTTCGCATTTTGGGTAAAGACATGTATAATTTATTTACATACAAAACCATCTACTACCAGTTGCTGTTGTAAAGGCCACAGATTGGGAGAGGAAGAAAGAAAGAGAAATAAAAGAAAGAATGTTCGTGGCTGTCGGCTGAGGTTCTGTGAAAACGGCAGCGTCGGCGTTGAAAGTTGAAGCATAACATCGCGTTCCTTGTGCCTGCTGCGTACTCGGCCATCTTTTGCGTGTCGACAACTTAACCGGGTCTCTCTCTCTGAATCGAGGGATTTATATCAGACGTATCGGCTTCAAATCATCGTTTGGGTCTTTTAGCAGGAGTCATTTTTACTGGCTAATATATATAGTTCATTTTATTGCGTTTAATACCAAAAACATGTGTCGAGCCATGATGCGCAAAGACGCGTTTTCGCATTCTGCTTTGAGTCGTCAAGCAGTCAACACCCTGTTTATGTAGAAGAATGTAAGAGACACGAGACATCTGACAAGAGCAGATTTTTTTTTTCACATGTCTTGGACTGAATATTAGGTATACAAGAGATGATTGATATTTTTTGTCTTAATTATTATTTGCGTCTGAATCAACTATTTTAAACGCATAGTGCATTTTTGTTGATTAAAAGGTAATGACCCCAAGAGACAATTTGAATTCAAGTTGGGTACAAAATGTGTGATTGTACAGGGTGGGGGCGTGAACATTTTTAGATTTTATCAAAATATCTGAAATTTGCTAAAAATGAAGGTTAGATTTCAGAAAGCCAATGAAATATCTCGGCACCTGAATAATGATTATATTGATATACATATAACCAAGAATTACCCGGTTAAGTGGAGAACATGCAGAGGGGAATTAACAGGAGATAACTATAAATAAAGGGTTTAGTCCGACATTACAACCACCTGAAGAAGGCCGGAGTGTAAAACGGTTGTAATACATATGGCGACAAATATGAGGACAATAGTCCGAATGATGTAAATAGTGTACATAATACCTCATCTCAGAAATATAGACAGATACTGAAGAGCCGAAACGTTTTAATAAATATGGTGACAAAGATGAGGACAATAGTCCGAATAATGTAAATAGTGTACATAATACCTCATCTCAGAAATATAGACAGATACTGAAGAGCCGAAACGTTTTAATAAATATGGTGCAAAGATGAGGACAATAGTCCGAATGATGCAAATAGTGTACATAATACCTCATCTCAGAAATATAGACAGATACTGAAAGGCCGAAACGTTGTAATAAATATGGCGACAAAGATGAGGACAATAGTCCGAATAATCTAAATAGTGTACATAATACCTCATCTCAGAAATATAGAGTGATACTGAAGAGCCGAAACGTTGTAATAAATATGGCGACGTGATAAATATGGCGACAAAGATGAGGACAATAGTCCGAATAAAGGAAATAGTGTACATAATATACACAGATACAGATCAAATCTTCCCTTCAATTCTACTACGAACTCTCAATCCCAACATCAAGACATTTGTCTGGCAACTGTAACCGGTGGCATCAAAATTAGCTGATGGACAGTGTGGCCTTAGGAATAGGCACTCCAGAACTGACCACCTCAATTCCAATAATGACTGTTAATATAGAGTAGCCATTGGAAATCAGCAAATGTCCAGTTTGTTGGCTTGACACTAATAGTTTTCATTTATTTATTTATTATTTAGTTTCCCTTTAACCAAGTGAGTGCTGCTTAGAAAGGCTGTCTTCAAAGACTTTATCTACATAAAACCCAAAACACTTGAGATCAAGATAAAATCACGCACCATCTGTGTGGGTGTTCCAATCATAGTGTCACACTAATATCAAGAAAGAATTATGTAGACATATTCTTTTCACAAATTACAAACATATAAAAACAAAATGTGAAAAAAAAAGATGATTATATTTTATTTTGTGGTTTGAAGTCAGTGCTAAGAGTCTGAATGTTTGTTTCTATCTTTATGTCATGGTTTAGAAAGAACACATTTCACAGTTGAGAGAAAAGATATTGTAGTACCGCGCCTACATTTCTTCAATTTTGATTGGTCGATTAATATATACTAAAAATAATAGGACAATTTATTGATCGCATTTCACCTTACTGAATTTTTTCCTACAGTTTGCTCACAAGCTACAAAATCACTGATTGGTTCATTTTTCGTCCAATCGAGTATTTTTCGTGTACATTCAAAAATATATTCCGCGTTCATGCTGGGAGCCACCTATAGTAATATAAATATTGGATGCATTCCAAAAAACCAGTAGTAGTAGTTCCAGCACCACAGTAGAGTACAGACCAGAGACAATAGATCTCAACTACTCACTCGTGTTATTCATCCTACTCACTCCGCACGTGCATACACACAGATACAGAACGTAATTTGATACACCACCAGTTCTCATAAGTTGCAAACACAACTGAACAATCTTCTGAAGAAATATTCTATTTCAACACTGAACTCTGAACTTTATACTCAGACAAATCTTCCTTAAAATATTTCCTAACAGTTAAAGGGAAACTACTTTTTTCTCCCTATTCACACATATTACAACTACCTTGTATTATTGTTTGTTTTTCAATATATATTTGTTTATTCGTTGAAACAAATTGGTTCTTCATTGTTTTTCCTTGATATTTTAAATATTATGTATGAATGTTAAATGCTTACTCAACACGCAGCCACATTTATCTATTCAATTAAACACCACTTCTACATTGGTATCCGCTGACATTTAGATTAGCATACAACATTGGTGACTTACAACACTCAAGAAAGCAAGCATTCTACAATATTGTGGGGATCATCACATTTTTATGTCTGTAAGGACCAAGATTCTAGATAGGTATGGACACATGCTTAAGTCATAGATTAGATACTGTTTTAAGGTTGGAGTAGACCTAATGTAAACATACAATGGGGCCCTCACCAAGTTTTCAACCATATACCTAATGAGTACCTCATGTTGCATCGCCATTCTTGTTTGTGCTGGCATGCGTCAATAAATGGGAAAGGTTCACAAGGAAATGAAAGATGAAAATAAATGCCAGGGCAAGAACTGCGGACTTGAGACCCTCTTTCTAGTATATTTAGGTGTTGATTTCAGGGCTTCACTTGCAGAGTCTGGGTTGATGGGTAGGTGACACCTCTGCTATATCAGTTTAACAGATCAAATCTTCCCTTCAATTCTACTACGAACTCTCAATCTCAACATCAAGACATGTGCCTGGAAAATGTAACAGGTGGCATCAAAACTAGCTGATGGACATTGTGGCCTTATGAATAGGCACTCCAGAACTGACCACCTCAATTCCAATAATGACTGTTAATATAGAGTAGCACTCCAGTTTGTTGGCTTGACACTAACAATTTTCATTTATCTATTTATTATTTAGTTTCCCTTTAACCAAGTGAGTGCTGCTTAGAAGGGCTGTCTTCCGTGTGGTGAAGGCGGTGGAGAACTTGAGGAGGGGAATTAACAAGAGATAACTGATAACTGACATCCATTAGACATGGAACATGAAACTAGAACAGCCTACCCCAGTGAGCGAAATATAGGGTTCAGTTCGACACTCCAACCGCCTGAAGAAGGCCGGAGCGTACAACGGCCGAAACGTTGTAATAAATATGGCGACATAAATGAGGACAATAGTCCGAATAATATAAATAGTGTACATAATACCTCATCTCAGAAATATATACAGCGCCACTTATATTTTGCATCTAACCAAATACAGGTACCCTCCGATTAATACGAATTCGATTCGTGAGCTAAAATTTTTATATACCAAAATACTCGATATTCTTCAGTGTAACCATAGTAATTGAAAATTGATTTTTTATAGTTACCAATGTACACATTACAGCACTAATCGAGGGATTCCTGCATCATTTTATTTGGATTCATATATATATATGTATATATATATATATATATATATATATATATATTGTCGAATAATCTTTTAGTATTATCACTGAAACGAGAAAGAAAATAACCATGTTGATACATGTTTTTATTGTTAATCCTGTCTAAGCTTTCGGCTTACATAACCCATCATCAGAGATTACAAATACATTACAATAAATTAAAAATAAATTAAATACAAAGATGGTATTTTTTGTTTTAGATTGGTTATGCGGACATTGCAACAATGATAGTTTGTTTTGTTTACATGGAAGATTGCTATGCAACGATAAATTCGTGCATATGAAACGCAGGAAGCAAATATCGCATTGCGGTTCATGGCATCACATATGAGTACGTGATAGTGAAAATGAAGAAAAGTGTTAAGTAATCTCACACGGGTAGAAATATAGGAAAAGGTTTGATATATTTTATCATGACAAAGCCAAACGTCTCTCCATTTCCATTTAAATTTTGAAAATCATAGAACTGTGAAACCAGTACAGTTTCTCTAAATAAATATTTTAAAAACTCAGTCATATTTTCAACTTCTTTTTCCTATATATATATATATATATATATATATATATATATATATATATATATAAAAGAGAGAGAGAGAGAGGAGGAGGAAGGGGGGAAAGAAAGATAGCTTCTTCCACGAAAACGCCATACCTAACGTTTAAAATGAAGTTTTAATGAAGAAAAAATTTTCTTCAAGGTTTCATTTTAGTTTTAATTTCAAGCTGTGAGATTACATTCAATGTTTGCAGTGAACAAAATAATATTATGTATTTTAAAACTAATTTAAATTCATTACAAATAATTTTGTTTTTAAATTTCTTAAATTTTTTGAATTTAGTTCCATTTTAAGTGCTATAAATTTCTTTATTAATAAAATCTTGCAAAAATAAAAACAACTTTTCAGAAACATTATTTGACGAATATTAGCTGATTTAAAGTAAAATTTATCTGACTTGTGATAAATATTGCTTTTCTTAAATTTAAAATATCACAGAAATGCTTTTTTAACACAACAGTAGATTATTTATGTTGACAGCATTTTGACACCTCTATGACAGCAGGATGACAGATAGATTGTTATATAATTTGGGTTTTTTGTGGGTTTTTTTACCTTAAAAATAATTGAGAAATATAAAGCGAACGGCTCTTAAGTACTCGGCCATCTTAAAAATTAAGAAAATATTCTCAGTATCTAATGTTTGATTGAGTTTTATAGAATTTTGGCTCTAAATTTAATATAGTTGT